GTTATTACCACTTCCGGAGCGAGAATTGGGGAGGCATATGGAGTGCTGGGAGAGCCCAAGTTCGCCGTCCCGAGCCACTTCTCGCCGCCTCCATTGGCCTGGGACGGTGAACCGCGGCCAGTGGGGCCGCAATTGGCCGAACCTGCCGCGTCAGCAGGTAAATAAACTGGCCCAGCCCGCCAGGGTGCTTACCCTGGCAAGCTGCGTGCCAAACGTTGCCGACCCCTGGTATAGAGTAATGTAATGGCTGTCGATAAGGCTATGAAGCTTATGAATCCTGTCTTGAGCAGGCAATTAGATGAAGAGCTGTTACATGCAAGGAATGTGGGAACTCATTGGTGTGGTATATTGCGTTTTGCATCAGAAAACCATTGCCCAATTTAGCAGAATTTGTATATTATTTAGCAGTACTTGCTTCTGAGTGGGCTTGATCCTGAAAGATTCTGAGCACCTGCAGATCCTCAGCACCTCTCCTAATCAGTCTCTCAATGCAAAGTCTAGAGCAAGTCAACATCAAGCAAGAATTGCAGGTCTGGGATGAGATGCATTTAATTGTCAGGCCTCTGTGGGGTAGATGATCTATTCTAGATAATCACTGTTGAAAACTGGGGTATTGGAAAAGGACCTGTGCTCACCTGAAGGGATGCGGTGTGGGGGGTAGAGGGAGGAGATACACAAAGTAATGTAGTATATTATATATACTTTAAACTACTATGTGTACGCTTTCCTCCTTCCAAACTACTGTGTGTATTCTCTCCTGCTCCCAGCTGAACATACACACGTGTGGATATGAAAATCTATTATGTACCCATTTTGTCTATGAATACATTAGGGAATGCAAAATAAATAAATAAAAGATTTGGTTTACTTTTCAGGAATCTGAGAAAAAGGGATTAATTGAAAGAATCCACATGGTCCAGGATATTGTTATAACGGTTCAAAACATCTTAGAAGAAATAGCATCGTTTGGAGAGAGAATTAAAAAGTAAGTGAATGTTTCGTTGCCAGGCTCTGAAATGTTTAGGACAGCACAAAGGGGCGTAGCTGTAATTAAGGGAATAAATTCCTCCCTCAGAGAGTGCCTGGGAATTGTAGAGTAAGAGCCTGGCCATTTCTTCTCCCCAGCAGTGGTATCACAGAAGACATCTCAAAGTAGAGAGGACAAAAGTAATCAGCAGCCCTGCCTGTTCCCAACTCTCACTGGTGTGCTGCCCTCAACCCCCTTTCTCATCTACCTCTATGGATGAGGGTAGGGAATGGGGGACTCTGACCTGTGGGTCAAGGGACTCTGTTGTTGGAAGCAGGTAGTCACAGAGGTGCAGTTGAGGGTATTCCTCTGGCTCATCCTCTGTCTTTGAACTAGGTGGGGATTAATGCTTGAAGTTTCCTTCCCATCATTCCCCCCAAGGCTGGACATATGGGTTATCTGTTGCTTGTCACCCCATCCTGTGCCGTGAAGTGCTTGTCTATGTATCAGTTTAGGCTTCCTGCTGCCATGAGGGAACCTGAGAAGGTCCTTTATCATTTGTCACAACAGAAGGCACATGACTTATGCCTCACACCAGGAAGCATGCAGATGGGAGCCTGGGGTGTGTGTGTCTCTTAATAACCTCCTCGCCTCCCCCCCCGCCACACGCACACATTTGTGTATTGTAATTACACCCATAGTGGAGTGTAACTGACCCTCACGTTTTTTCTCTTTTTAACACAAAGTGATTGTCTGTGACAGAGCTACACTTAAATAAGAAGTTGGGTCGGGGCTAAAAATATATCAAATCCATGTGTTGTGGTTCCACTCCATCCATCCCAGCTGTGGTGGAAATGGCCAAGAGATGTATTCCACTCTATGAACAGAGTACTGTTCTGTCCAGCTGCATGGCAGGAAGGCTCAGAGTGCTTAAACACTATTAATTCTGGTATTTATTTTGGTAACAATGATCTTAAAGAACCCATTGGTATTAATGTGGGTGCCCTTTGTAATTTCCAAGGAATTCCATTGTAATTCAAAAATGATGTACCATTAAAAAATTGCTACCAAAGTTTTTGGGGGTTTTTTTTTTTTAACTGACAGACTGGTTTGTGCCAGAGCTCTGTCACTCCAATTATGCAGACCGAGGGATTTTTAAGAGCTTAACTGTATTGAGCTGTTTTGTGTTTTGGTTTTTGGTTTTAAATTAAGCTATGCCGTTGTATAATAATTGTGGCAGTTCTTTCACCCTATCTTTTCTTAATATTTTAATACCTCCATGGAAGTAAAAAATATTTTCCCCCTCCTACAAATTTTGTATGTGAGATGAAAATCATCTTATTTTATAGCCTGATGTTGTTCTGAGTGTTCCACTTTGACGATCTCTTCACCTTAATCGTGATGTGAGGATGCCAGCAGGTGATCCATGTAATGCAAGAACACCCTGATCTGTAAATCCACTCATGCATTAACAAATGCCTTGTACTCCAGTTTGCCCAGTGCTTAGCTGCTGCAACCAGAAAGTAGATGGAGATCAGAGAGGCAAAGTGCAAGGGCAACAGGATAACTCTGAAGAGGCAATCAATAGCAACTTTCAGTTATTTCACCTCTAGCTCTGCCATACAGGGCTAGATCAGTAGTAATTGGGCTATATGGTGGTCTGAGTGAAATGAACTGTGCTTCTCAGACTTGTTCCTAATGGATTATTGTCCACCTCACCTGAGAGTATCATGACTTAAGATGTTATCATTCTCAGAAGATATCGAAGACTAAATGAGTATGGTGACTGACTCTCTCCTTTACCTTTGCTTGGGGTTCTCTAGAACAAGTCGGAGGCACATTGGTGACATGAAAAGGCTTGGACTGCTGCTGACTTGTGACAGTTCCCTAAATAAGAATAATAATAGACATGAAACAAGATATGTAGAATCCAGAGACTATTCCCTTTGTAGCACCCAGGTGCAGAAGTCTACGTATCTGTCTTCCAAAGGCTCTGTGCTTTACTTTACAGTTTATTTATATGCACTGAATATTGCAGAAAGAGTCATTGAGTTCTTAATGGGCTGTAAGTTATAGACAGCATTTAAGATCAGTAACACTGAAGAGGCTTTCTTATTATTATTTACAGCACATTCAACTGGACAGTGCCTTTCCTGTCGGTCCTGGCCTGCTTAGTACTGACAGCAGCGACAGTCATTTTGTATTTCATACCATTGAGGTACATTGTTTTAATCTGGGGTAAGTGCTCCATAATATTGCATTTGCATGGGAAGAATCCAATATTTATTTATAAGTGGGAATAATAAATCTTTAAACTTGCTGTTACAGGCATCAAATATCTGGGGTAAGCCCTCTGAGGATAATAAACACTCCATAAACCTTGGTGGAAATGAACATTTGTACTGGAGATCAGACTTTCTGTTGGTAGACTAAGGATTTACCTATTCTGAGCTTTTTCTTAAAATGTTCTCATGGTTACCGTAAGG